TGGTTGGTTGGTTATGTAAGGCGAGACTTGAAAAGGAGGCCAGCCCAAAAGAGATTTAAATTCAATGTAACATTCAACAGTACCTTTCAAGAATAAGATTGCCTTTAATAAGAGATAAGAAAAATTTATAATTTTCTTTAGAAATTTTATTATATTTTCATTTAGATAGAGGGGTTGCCTAGGCATGGCCGCACTTCCCACTGGGTCCGCCGGAAAAAAGAGATTTTGAGGCAATTTTAATTATTCGAAGCTTCTTGCTTTGCAGTGTGGTCGCAAACGTTCGGGCAGTTGATGGCATGGCTCCCATGCCCTCTCTCCGTCGGAGGCCCTGAGCACTAGAGGTTTATAAATATTTGCACAACTTGAATCCAACCTTCAGGGGCGGCGCCACGGAGACATGTCCACCCCCACATTTTTTAAGATTGACTTTCTAATTTTTGCAAAACTGGATTAAAAACATAGGGGGGGGGGGGGTGTGTTAGTTTTCTTCTCTGAGATCGGAACTTTTTTGCATTTTGATGGTCAGTTACGGTTCTTTTCAGATCTTAGCTGACATAGAGTATGGTGTGTTGGATCATCAGTTTCGTAAATAGTGAGAAACTAAAATAAAGATGATCTATAAAACACAGCTTTATCGTGCTAAACAGTTGGTTCTTAGAGTGTGGTCTTGGCCTTCCTTCCTTGTCAAAGGTTTTTGGCAATAATTAACTTATAACGTGCAACCAAACTTTCTTAAGATATAAGGATAGTATAGTTGCAGCCAACCTGTTACAACTGCATCACCTTTTAGCCTCAATGTCAGACGAAAGGTTGAAAAAGCTTGTTGAAATTAGCACCGATCGAGATATGGCAGATAAAATAGACAAAGGAAGCCTCGTTAATAAGTTTAAAACCATTGCTAGCTAAAAAATTACTACTTTGAAATCAACTTTCATGCTATTAGCTTTTGTGTGTGTAAACCTTTGCCAATGAAATTCAACATTTCTATTGAGGGTTTCAAAATTTGTCAAACTTGGTTATCAATAACGAGCGCGATTTCTCTTACGGTGTTGCACCGGTTTTTCACCCAGACCCCTTTATCAGCTCTACCCCTTCATTGGCTAAACCCAACTGCTATAATGTTCGAATAATAGATACTCTATCTGTTCCCAAGGTCAAGAATACAAGTTATGGTTTAAAATCTATTAGTTTTATTTGGAATTCTCTTCCAAATGAAAAAAAATCATCCAAAAATGCAAATCACATTCAAAGTTCTTATAAAATATTGGTATTTTTTCGAAAATCAACGAGCCTGTAATTAATAACTTCTTGTTCGGGTTTTCACGTAAATTTTCATTGCGTAGTCGATTAAGGTTTTGGTTTAGTGTAATTAAGCCTTAAAATGTATCTTGTGACTTGGTGACGCAGCTTTTCTGTTTACCATATTTTCTAATTGCTTCGATTATAATAATTACACTTTCGTTTGAGCCAACTGACGTAAATTGAATAGAGCATCGTCATTGGTAGTTTATTTTGGATTAATTAGTTTACAGTATATATATAGAACGTTGAGATTTTGTTATTGCGTGCGTGCAACTGGGGGTGGTTGTGCGAACCCAGCTGTGATTTGCTGAATAATATGAAATGTGAAAAGCTCAAATGACTTTTTCTTCAGTGTTTTCTCTGGAATACAAAGTTTAAAAAGAATCAGCAAGATAGATCCTGAGAGGTCTAAAAATCTGGTCCACCGAACCTAGATGTATTTGTGTTTCAGTGAATGAACTATGGATGAACTGAAGAAGAAGAGAAACATCAGAGGAGGACATAGAGCTTTTGCAACGCAGTTGATCAGACAGATTGAAGATAGTCTTGAAGATCAATTGAAGTTGAAGCAGCTTGAGATACAGCTAGATGAGAAATTTGAAGTCTTAGAAAAATTGGATGACGAAATTTTGGGTCTTGTAAGCGAAATTGATGAAGATGGTTTGGGATGCTTACAAGAAATTTCTGAGGCTGGAGAGATGAAGGAAAAAATAAATCTAGCGCTGCTCAAGTTGAAGAGTTTAGTGAAGAATGAGAAGCAGTTGGAATCGCAGAAGCCTTATTTAACAAGACATGGCTCAGAAGAATCAGTTTATTCTATAGAAAGTTCAGCGTCGTCAGCAACTCGTAAAGTTCGTGCGAAGCTACCGAAGTTGGAATTGAAAAAATTTAGTGGCCGCCCCCAAGATTGGCAGGAGTTCTGGGATAGTTATAAAAGTGCGGTTTACGAAAACGAAGAGATTTCAAAGATTGACAAGTTTTCGTATTTGAAGCACTATTTGGAAGAACCTGCCAAAAAAGTAATTGCTGGACTTGCTTTGACTGAAAAAAATTATGTTATAGCTGTCGATTTGCTTGAACAGAGATTCGCGCGACCAACGATGATAAAAAGGGCACATATCAACGAGCTTCTGAATTTAGATGCGGTTTTTAATGAAAAACATGTTAAGAAGATGCGAGAACTTTATGATACTATTGAGACACACCATCGTGGATTGAAAGCCTTAGGGGTCGACGAAATATCATACTCGAACATAGTTGTACCTGTTTTAATGGACAAGGTTCCAGAGGCTGTTCGCCTGAACATGATTCGAGGAAGTAAGAATCACCAAGAATGGGATATGGAAGAAATGCTTGTGGCTTTTCGAGAAGAATTGGAGATTCGTGAACAGCATGTTTCGATTTCAATGGCTTTGGGAAATGGGACCGTTTCTGGTAGGACGTCATCAGAACGGCGAAGTGAGATGAAACCGAGGTTTCCTGGTCGAACAACAACAGCGAGTGCGTTGTTTACGAAACAAGATGGTGGATTTGCGAGAAGAAAGTTCTGTGTATTTTGTAAAGAAGATCATGAAGAAGCCGATTGTCACAACGTCAGGAACAAGGAAGAAAGGAAGGATCTTGTTTTTAAATATGGACGTTGTCTTTTGTGTTTAAAAAAGGGACACAGAGCTTATCAGTGTCATTCGAAGGAAAAATGTAAGTTGTGTAACAAACGACATCATGTTGCAATTTGTAATGTTGTTGGTAGTCAGCCTAGTGCTAACCAAGCTCGTGTCAAGACTGCTGATACTACTGTTACCACTTCTTGTGTAAGTAATATAGACTCTGGGGGGAGAGCAGTCTTGCAAACCGCCAAGGCCATAGTTACAGGTAGCATAAGGAATGTTAAGGCACGTGTTCTTTTTGACTCAGGTAGTCAGAGGAGTTTTGTAACACGAAGTATGGTAGAAAAACTTGGTTTGAACCCCATTAAGCAAGTGCGCTTAGGTATAAAGACATTTGGATCTCAAAATATGGACGAGAAGATAAGAGATGTGGTCGAGTTAGAGTTGAAAGGAGTTGAAAGTGGAGGGAAAGTGAAAATACAGGCCTTTGTTGTTAATGAAGTTTCAGAAATACGCAATGAACATGTTGAAATATTGAAGTATGATTATAAGCATCTTACTAACTTGTGGTTTTCAGATGTTTGTAGGCACGAAGATTCCCTTATTATAGACATTTTAGTTGGAAGCGATTGGCTTTGGACGCTTCAAGATGGTCGTATAATACGAGGGGAGCCAGGAGAGCCTGTTGCCATTCATACTAAGATTGGATGGGTTGTGTCAGGGCCAATAAAGGGTAAGTTAACTGATTTGGCAGAATCTTGTTCTTCAAATTTGGTTGTAAATGGTAATGGTATAACAGTTAATTTGATGCACCAGAATAAGGAACAGGAATTAGAACAAGACATTAAAAAACTGTGGGATCTTGAGACTTTAGGAATTAAAAGGCAAGATAAGGTGCATGAAGAATTTTTGGATAATATAGAGTTTAAAGGAGATAGATACTCAGTTCGTTTGCCTTGGAAAATGGGGCACAAGCCCCTTTCTACTAATTATACTCTTAGTCTCAACAGATTGAAGGGGCAGTTGAAAAAGCTCAAGGAGAAGCCTGCAATAATGGAAACTTATGATGGGATTATAAAGCAACAAGAAAGGGATAGAATCATTGAAGAGGTTACAAGTCTTGAGCCAAGTGAGAAGCTTAGTTATCTGCCACACCATGCCGTTGTACGAAATGATGCAGAAACAACAAAGGTAAGAATAGTATATGATGCCTCTGCAAAAGATAGGAAGTCAGGTACCTCTCTAAATGAGTGTTTACATGTTGGACCACCATTAAATCCACTTTTGTTTGATATCATGATAAGATTCAGAGAAAATAAGATTGCAATAACATCTGATATCGAAAAGGCATTTTTGAATATTAAAGTGGATAAAAAGGATAGAGATTGCTTGAGGTTCTTATGGATTGATAGTTCTTGTGATAGTGAACCAAGCATTAAAGTTTACCGCTTTAATCGTGTTGTTTTCGGAGTAAATAGTTCTCCTTTTTTGTTGAATGCTGTTGTAAGACATCATTTAAGCACTTATGAAACAGCTGATCCAGAGTTCTCAGCAAAATTGTCTAGAAGTTTCTATGTAGATGACCTAGTGTTAGGATGTTATGATGTAGAAAGTGGTAAAGAACTCTACAATAAGGCAAAGAAAAGAATGTTAGAGGCAGGATTTAACTTAAGGAAATGGAAGAGTAATGATCCACAACTTGCTCAATATTTTAAGGTTATGGAAGAAACTGGGAAACATCCTGCAGATGGAGGGGGTGAATGTAGCTATGTAAAGGAAATGCTAGGGGAAGAAATTTCAGACACTAAGAGTAAAGTTTTGGGAATAACATGGGATATGTTGAAGAATAATTTGGAATTTGAGTTGACAAAAATAGAGAGCAGTGTTCCAAATTCACCTGTTACTAAGAGAACCATCTTAAGCATGATTTCCAAACTTTTTGACCCTTTAGGACTTGTGAGTCCAATTATTGTAAGTGCAAAGGTTTTGTTTCAGGAATTATGCACCTTGAAGTTAGGATGGGATGATGAAGTACCAGTAGAAATGCTCAATAAATGGAATAAATTTGTATGTGATTTAAGTTCAGTGGGTGTTATTTCCTTACCAAGATGTTTATATGAAAAAAGTACAGATAAGGTAAATAAGTATTATTTACATGGGTTTGCAGATGCCAGTAAGAAGGCTTACTGTGCAATGGTTTATTTAGTATACGAGACTGATACTGGAATGCATTCAAGATTGATTTGTGCTAAGACAAGGGTTGCTCCGCTTAAGGAATTAAGCATTCCAAGGTTAGAACTTATGTCAGGTCGTATTTTATCTACACTTGTGGAGACTGTGTATAATGCGTTAAGCCCACAAATTAAAATAGACGGTTGTAGGTACTGGTTAGACAGTAAGACAGCATTATACTGGATAAATAATCAAGGTGAATGGAGGCAATTTGTACAACATAGGGTCAATGAGATTCTGAAAATTTCTAAAAAGGAAGACTGGGGACATTGTATTGGAGTTTGTAATCCAGCAGATTTGGGTTCTAGGGGAGTCTCTGCAACAATTTTAAGAGATAGCAGACTTTGGTGGGAAGGTCCTCATTGGTTGTCCATGGGGAAGGAATATTGGCCTAAAAGTTTCACTCTTGAGGATTCACCAGAGATTATGGAGGAAAAAAGGAAAACTGTAAATGTTACAGCAGTAATAGAACAAAACAGACTAAGTGTGACTGAAATAATAGAGGTGGATAAATTTAGCTCTTTGAAGAAATTATTGAGGGTTACAGCAAGAGTGATCCGTTTCGTCACTAATTTAAGGTCTGCAAGGGAAGGTAAGATATTGAAATTAGGGGAATTAGACTCGGAGGAAGTTTCAAGGGCAGAAAGGATTTGGATTAAGGGCTCACAAATTGACCTTAAGAAACAACCAGGGTATAATGAGATTGCATTGAAATTGGGACTCTTCGAAGAAGATGGCATTTTAAAGTGCAAGGGTCGCTTGGAAAACTCAGATTTAGCACTAGAAACTAAGTTTCCGATTATTCTACCGAATAATAATTGGTTTACGCGTTTGGTTATTGAGGATTGCCATGAAAGGGTAATGCATGAAGGTCTGAACGCAACGCTCACGGAATA